AAAAAACAAAAACGTTTGGCTACGCACATGGATGTAAATTTATTGACAAATTATTGCCAAATGTATATATCTCCATTACTTTGGCAAATTGGCAATCGTATTTCCATATAATTTGTTTTTTATTTTTCATTTGTTTTCTTTTACTTATTCTAGTTGTACGTATTTGCAAATGTTTATTAAAGTGTATCAATCAGCATTTTCATTTGGCAATTGCATAATAATAACGGGTTTTTTGCTTTTGTTTTTTGAAATGACGTAAATTATGTGCAGCTCTTGATTTTTATACTCTTTTTCTAATGTTGTTCTTTACTTAAAATGTGAAATTGATTGAAAATGACTACCACGTCTCATGCTGGGTGAAGTTTAAAAAACTCAAACCAAAATAATAGATTGAATTTTTGATATTATTGTTATTAGTTTTACTATTTCGCTGCTATTTATTTAATTCGCAACATTTGCGCTGTTGATGCGCCATAAAAAATGAAAAATGTCATTCACTGCTTCAGCATTTTAAGTTTTTTCTGAAGCTTTTTAACTGACTGAATGATTTTTTACAATTGCAATTTAAATGCGTTGTACTTTATGTTGCAGTTGACTGCTGCAGTAACTATTTTAGCTGTTTACTTATAACTCAATTATTTTATTTTTTATTAAATTGAAGTTTTGTAAATAGTCAATCAGTTTAGTTTAAAAAGAGAACAACAAGAGAAAGTGTTCAATTTGTGCTAATGTGTAGATCAATTTGAAATAGTTGAATTATTTTTTTACTTATCACTTAATTAACTCGAGTATTCTTTTGAGTCGTAGCTTTAATTTAGCTCTCTTGTAAACTGTAAAGTGCTNTTTAAAAAGAGAACAACAAGAGAAAGTGTTCAATTTGTGCTAATGTGTAGATCAATTTGAAATAGTTGAATTATTTTTTTACTTATCACTTAATTAACTCGAGTATTCTTGTGAGTCGTAGCTTTAATTTAGCTCTCTTGTAAACTGTAAAGTGCAATTCAAAGTAAAACTGTCAATTAAAAAACTAACACATTCTACTTAAACTAACGCGTCTCTTTCTCCTCTTATTTAGGCCATTCGGAAAAATGTTCTGCATGGTCTTTGCACTGGGCGGCATTCCAATGGGCCTGGTGATGTTCCAGAGCATCGGTGAGCGGCTCAACACCTTCGTCGAGAAGGGCCTCAAACAGTGCAAAAAGTGCTTCAAGTTTAAGAACAAAGAGGTACTGACTGACTAAGTGACTGTCTGAATTGCTTACAAGCTTATTAAATCTCTCTCATTTACCTCTTTTTCGCAGGTCACCGAGACGAACCTGATCGTCTTCGTCTCCATCCTTTCGACGATGGTGATGACCTGCGGCGCGGCGGCCTTCAGCAAGTTCGAGAACTGGAACTACTTCGATGCCTTCTACTACTGCTTCATAACGCTCACCACAATCGGCTTCGGCGACTACGTGGCGCTGCAGAAGGACGCGGCGCTGCAGTCCTACCCCGAGTACGTCGCCTTCTCCCTCGTCTTCATTCTCTTCGGCCTCAGCGTGGTCTCTGCGGCAATTAACCTGCTGGTGCTGCGCTTCCTCACGCTCAACACCGAGGACGAGCGGAGGGACGAGGCGGACGCGAGGACGGCCGCCCAGACGGCGGTCAGACTGGAGGGCGATGTGATCACCGCCAACGGCTCCATCCTCGGATCGGATGAGGCGCTGGCCAAGGGCAGGGGAGGCGGCGGCGGAGGTGGCGGCGGTCGCGGTGGCAACGGCGACGGCGAGGGCGGCTACCGGAGCGGCCACGGCCTGGACGACGAGAACATCTCCGTCTGTTCTTGCACCTGCTACGGCAACTCGTCGACGCGCTACTGGAACGCCAGCACCTCAAAGGCCTACATTGATGCGGATAACAACTTTAACGTGCAGCCCATCGCCAACAGTGATAGTGGCGGTGGGAGAAGCGGCGGCGGTCGCTTCAGTGGTTTCGGCAGTCGGTCTTCGCCCAAGGTGCGCACCGTTCGCTACTACTACGGCGATGACACGCTGCTGGGCATGGACGTCAAGTCGGTGGACGGCTATGCGGAGGACGTCACCTCGGCGGCCAGGAGGAGAAAGCGGAAATCAGATGATCACCTGCCCGGGGCGAGGTCGGGTGGCTTCTTTGCGCGCAAGATCACCGGCGAGTCCTTCTTCAGTCGACTGACCAGGCCGGCGGCGGCGGCCTTCTACCGAAAGTCCTCCATCATCGGCGGCGGAGTGGGCGGTGTGGGCGGCGTGTCGGCTTCGGTGGTACAGAGTACCACCGTCCGACGGTCGATTGCCTTTGCTGACGAGAGTACGGCGGCCATTGCTGTTGATGACGATGAGGAGAGCAGCTCGACAAACTTTCACCTCAGCTCAAGTGGTGGTGTTCAGAGTGGCGCCATTCACGGCGGATTCTTTGACGAGGACCACGCCTTGGACATAACCGATCGAAGTGGAGGCGGTGGCGGCGGCGGCAATGTCCACTTTGCCAGCACCAGCGGCACATCAACTTCTTCAGCCGGCAATGGCAAGAAGATCAAACACCGGTCAAAGACGAAGGCAACGGCGGTGCTGCCCTCTACCCACGAGGCCGAGTTCTACATGACCGAGCTGAGCAGTCGACCGGCGACGAGTGGTGGTGGCCCTGGCCCCAGTAGTTATCACCACAGCCACGTCATGGACGGTCGGAGACTGTCACCGCCGACGCTGTGCTCCCTTCCACCGCCCGGAGGAGGGGGAGGAGGGGGCAGTGTGAGCGGCATGACGGCCACCTCCTCCACCTCCTTTCTGCTGCCCTCCTCGACGACCTCCTCCCGCACGGCCATGTACTACTCCGCCTCCACCTCCACGCCGCCAGCAGTGCCTCCGGAGATGCTCGGCTACTCCCTTCCCGGGCCCTCACTGGTCATGTACCACGGGGACTCGGGAACCACCACGGGAATGGTGGCGAACGATGGGGACGACGATGATGATGAGGACGTCTCCTTTGATGTGAACCAGCAGCATTATCTCCCAAAACAGCATTCGCATCAGCATCAGCATCAACAGCAACATCAACATCATCTTCAGGCTAGCAACTATGAGGAGATGCTGGAGGAGAACTGCAAACGAGCCTCCATCTGACCACTACAGGTGAAGTGTGCATGATGAGCCCCACCTCTCTTCAAGCCCTCTTTACTGACTGAACCTCTTCTGACCCCCTCCCATTTTCCGCTTCAGAGAATTAATTTTGCTATATTTTTGTACAGAATTTTTATGTCAGCGATATCTTTCTCGTTTTTCTCTCTTCTTCACCTCCTTCACCACTTTCTCACTTTCAATGTGATGTTCTCTCTTCCCACAACTGACCACTGACTGTTTCTCCCTTTTTTGTTACAGCTGTTTAAAGCAGCAAAATTGTGTGTAAAACGCAAGGACGACCGATAGCAATCTGTACCGATAGCACACCGAAACATACAATTTTTGTTCTCTCTCTTGTACACAAAAGCACAACTTTCCCCTCCCCTTTTTTTCGACCAATCAGACACTTGCAGTTTTTTGTCCTTTCCTCTTCAAACATTTTGTTTTTCATCACTAAAATCACCACTTGCTTTTTGTTGTCGAGCACTTCATCACTTTTTCCCCTTGATACTCTTCTGTACAGAGTCACCTTTTTGTGTGTAAAGCATCATCATCATTATCATCACATTTGTACACATTGGTTTTTTATTTATTGATTTTTTGACAATATACAACAACAACAACAAATGAAAACAATTAACAACAACACACTCTGGTCAGCAGCCAACTTTGTCAAAATGACGAAAAAGCAAAAACAGCATTTTGCTTTTTTCTTCACAAAGAGAAGCGATGATGACCAGCTGAAAAATTGTCTATCTGTTAATTCTGTTTCTATTCAATGCCCCCTCACAAGCTCTATTGTAAAGAACCACCAAACTCCCACACACACCAACAAACAGACACAAACACCCAGAGAATCTAATACAAAGGAAGGCAACCTCAATAAATGTGATACATAACTAATTGCTTTGTCCGTCTGTCCGCCTGCCTGCATTCAGTTGCAAGGTTGCAAAGTTTTCACAGGAGAATTAGGCAATAGACAAATTAGAAGCTGCAGTTTGCAACTTTCAGTTTGCATGGCAAACACACATACTCCAACGGAAGAACCGCTTGGAGCGCTAAGTAGTGTGCAATCAGCAAAATTCTGAATCCGCCACTTTTGCATCTTTGTTTTCTTATTTTCTTCTTTTGGTTCTTTTTGCGGTTGGCATCACACTTGAAGCGAGGCAAACGGAGCGAAAACGGCTGCAGACAAACAAATACTCAAACAGTAAGACATCGTCTCTGGTGACGGATTACAAAAGCATCTGGTCAGACAGTGCTGCTGCTGCTGCTGCTGGTTAAGTGATCAGAAGACTGGCCTGGACTGGAGGAAAAAGAGATCACTTTGCTCATGAAAGTTAATTTCAAATTAGTTTACTCTACCTAATTCTGATGGTGGTGGTGATAGTGGTTTCCCGTCTAACGTTTTCTCTCTTTCTTTTTCTCTATCTGTCTGGCTGTGTCCGTCCGTCAAATGCCGTCCGGGAATCGAGTTAGTTAGTCGAATTTAGTAGAGACAACGACAACGACGGAGAACGGCAGTGTCGGCAGACGAAAGCGCAGCAATGAAGATTGATGCGCCTCCTTGGTCGTCTAAGACTTGTACTGCAATAGCAGATAAGTAGTAGAACAGTTGCAGATGATAGATTCACCACAGAGATACACATAAACAGAAAACGGGCGCCCAAAGTACTTCTCAACCCAATCGAATGTGTCTAATTTAATTAAGGCAACGGTAAGTTAAGTCGCTGAAGCAGCAGCAGTAGTGGCAATGGCAGTATTCAAACAGCCACTGTCCACTTTTTTTGTTTAACTGGTTTACTCCGTCGGGCTTTTTTAAATAAAAAACGGCGATAATAGTATGCAGAACTCTGGTACAGTCAGTCAGTCATTCTTGGCTTCTAGATGATTGATGATGCTGGCGATACTGGTGAATAGCACATTTATTCCAAAGCATTTTTATTTAAAAGAAATGTCGTGCATCAAAAGAAGTTGAGGAATGTGTCACCAGCAATGTGCACCGAAACTAGATTTCCGGCGATTTTTTTCGATAAAAAGTTTTGTTTTTAAGCTTAGGTGCTGCCACCTACAGTTGAAGAATGAAAGTAATATTTTTAATGTTGTGTTCGATGAAAAAGTTCGCCGATGTGAGGAGCTACATGATGGAGTCAAAAAAAGAAAAGACAACTCAAGAGTTTTTAGTTTTTACAATGCTATGTAACTCATTAGATTGGTGCACTTTGCGAATCTATTTTCTCTTCTTTAATTTACTTTCAAATTACTATTTGACAATGAAATAAATTGCAAGAAACAACTGTGCACCTTGAGTATTATTGCCTACAATTGTTTTTAAAATTGTCCACAACTGTGTGATCTGTAGTGGTCTTCCCTTGTCAGCACTTTGTTTCAGCAGTCGTTCACTGTTTGAGTCTCTTCCGACTGAAGATTGGCCATCAATCAATCATAAAGCACCACCACCGCCACCTCTGGTGATTTTGAAGGCAAAACGTACGGTTTGTTTATTTTCTTTACGTCACACAGAACTTTTTTAAAGTTGGTAGCTATTTTTGGCTTGGCTACTGCCTGGTGGTCAGATGTTTATTGTTTTCCCCACTCTGTCTTTCTGCTATTATCATTCATATACTTCAAGGTTAAAGTGAAGTGTATGTGTTTATGCCTTTGTCTTTGTTTCTAGTCAGTACGCGTAAAGGCCAACAGGGTGTCCGAATAACCAACTACAGCAAGTACAAGTGATAAAAACAGGTCTTTTTTAGCTACTCTTTTGCTGCCGAGCTCACTGCTTATCAGCAAATGAAGGCGAATTGCCATCTTCAGTGCTATTGAGTTTATGAGGGTGAAGAAGTGATAAAGAAATGAGTTGCATTCACCGACCGACTGACTGACTGACTAACACTGACTGGCTGGCTGGAAATTACACTCCGAAGCACTGAACAGCAGCAGCGATGCGAAGGTCAGTCAGTGTTTCACTTGTACACTAGCCGTCTTTTAAGAGGGCGACTGAGAAAGATAGCGAGAGTGAGTGAAAGAGAAGGAGAGAGTGCATGACAATTAGTACTCGTTGTCGTCTGTTTGCCTTCTTTTTTGTCTTACTGCCTAGGCGTTGGTGTGCGCACTCCAGCACTAACTAAAAATACCGCCACTTTCATTCTTTCCTGCTGGACAGTGTGCAGTCATTAGCTGTTTCAGCTTACTGAGCATTGCCTACTGCCACAGACTGCCACTAAATACTACCCACCTGCCGACTTGTACTTGCCTACTTACCTGCTGCTGCTTTATTACCTGCTTCCTTTGCCACAGCTCAGTGTGTGTGCGTGTGAACAGCAGCCATAAATCAGGGGACAGATGAAAACAATTGAAAACATCACTTCTCTTCTGCTGTAGTTCTCCTGTCCTTTTGTTTGGTGCTCGAAGTAATTAATGGTAAGACAGTGCTCACT